AGTGAGGGGGTGAGGGAGTTCTGTTTCTGAGTCTTCCTCAGGCCCACTCTGGCCAATGCTGGGAACAGTTTCGAAGTTGTGGGTTTGTCTTTGGAGCTTACCCCCCACCTCTTCAGGAGCTGCCATGGGTCCTTCATGCCTTTCTTGGCATCTCTTTTCTCTGCTGCTTAGGTTCCCTCTGGTCTGGAGGGAGGGGACTGTGGAAGCCCATTCTCATCTAAGCATTAGTGACTCATGCTACTCCTTCAGACTTATTTAAAAGAGCTTTAAAAATGGGTGCCTAAGAGAACAATATCTGACCCAAAGGAATGACTCTAATGGAAGAATTGAAAGTACTATGGCACCTGCTCAGGGAAGATAATTTTTGATGGAGTGGGGGTGGGTCCCAGCGCTGCCTCTGAAATCACTCTGCCTAAGAAGACTCCTGCTATTACTCTTGAGTAATAGACTCCTTCCCTAAGTACTCAGGATACACGTGAGAGGAAAACCTCCTGCTGGTATGATTGTAAGGTGTGGTCAGATCCAGACTTCAATGTGTGTGCGTCCCGGTCTCTGTGTCATCATCTGTCCCGGGTATACCTGTGCTCTTCTTCTTCCAGCCTCAGAGGGAGTGAGCCTGTACCTGGCCCTTGGATCCAGTCCCTGCCTTGTACCTCTTCTCTGCTCCTGAAGACTGGCCTGCCCTCTGGCTTCCAGTTGGGTTCAGCTATTGGGGAAAACAGGCAGGAGATGACGGAGGGAAGAGGGAGAGGTTGGGTGTTTATACCCTGCCCCCTCACCGCAGGTTGGCTGTGACTCTCTTCCAAAGGCTGCATCACCTCTCCATACAGCCGCCCTCTCCATGTCAGGCGACAGCTCCCTTTCTGGGCCTTTGGGTTATACCAACTCCCGTTGCCAGCGCTAGGTCCCTGCACCACCCTCTGCGGGTCTGTTTACATCCTCTGCCCAGCTTTGTAAATTGTCCCTTTTTGAAAGTCTCCTCCTTTCCCCATGTGGGTATCCTGTCTGTCTAGGACCCTGACATGTAGGAGGGTCACCAGCTCAGAAGGTTGAAGGTGTAAAGTGTCCCTTACCCCCAAGTGCCTCCCATCTCCTAGCTGAGGCTTCCTGAGGGGAGGCTCCATCTCTGGCTGGAACGCAGGAGTCTGGAAGCCAGGCTTGATCTTCCCAGGTAAGGCCCTGGGCTTCGCCACTGCCTTCCAGGTGGCCCCTCTGCACCATTCGTGGCAGGAAAACCTGTTTGCATTGGGAAGCCCGCATTCTGGGCACACGAATTTGGTGCCCAGATGGTGCTTGTGTTTACAAAAGCCCAGCACACTGACAGGACCCGCAGACACATGGATAAATATTTTGCTTCTCTTCTCAGGCAATATTTGAGTCTTTCAAACCTAATTGCTGTCGAGGCAGGATGCTTGTGTCCCTGAGGCAAAGAAACAGTGAGGCCTCCAATGGGGCCACAGCTGTGGCAGAGGCTCCGCCAGGCTCCCCGGCCGGCCACCTGAGGTGTCTGTCGCCAGCTCCTTGCTCCTGCCGAGTGCGCTGGGGGAGATTGGGGCTAAGAGAGGTGACTGCAGCCCACCTGGAACCTGTGGTTATTTGTTTTGACATTGAGATAACCTGAGTTTAGCCCCAAATCAGGTACTTTTCTGAGACATTAGTGGTGGGCGCCAATCTGGCTGTAACCAGTGGGATTTTGTCTGGGAGTATTTTGTTTGATCTTCAAATTGTTGCGTGTAGGGCAGCTGCTAGCTTCTATGACACCCTTGTGCAGGTTAGACTGAGGCAGTCCCTCTGGCAAGGGCAATGCTCCCCTATCTCAGCAGGGGGCACGCACGGTGAGTGGGGCAGTGGCTGGATTTCAGCATCCAGGTATCCTCAGAGGTGTTCTTGTCAGGGCATAACCTGCTCAACGGTACCTGTCCAAGGTAGTACTCAGCCAAGGTAGTTGCTGATGGTATTCTTGTTAAAATCCTCTATCCTTTTTTTTTTTTTTATCTTTCCTGTTTCTTTTCTTCCTTTTTTTTTCTTTTAAAACACTGTCCTATTTGCCCCTTGGATGACATTTCCAGGTGCAGTGAGAGGCCCCTGTGTGCATTTGCCGTTTCTTCCATCTCACTGTGACTGATAAGCCTCTCTGTACACTGTCCGCACAAGGAAGGAGTGTTGCTGTTGACACACAGAGTTCTGCAGCAATCACGTCCTTTTATTCATTACGTTCGAATTTGCCTCAATTATGTCAATCCCCTGTATATAATAGAAGCTGTTGGATCCCTTGCCCACTGTGGTCTTATAAAGGGCACCTCATATTAGTCATTCCTTTCTTCAAAGCACATGTTATTGGTGCTCACCCTATGCTGGGAACTAGGGAGATAAAGATGAATGGATAGACAAGTCCCTGCCCTTGAGAAACTCATAATCTAGTGGGGGAGTGAGGCATGTAAACAGATAAATCACAGCCCATCGGTGTGCTTGCTGGGCAGGACAGGAGCCCGAGGAGGAGGGGGTGGGGCCAGTGATGCCTACTGCTAGGCGCTGTGGGCACAAGGAAGACTTTGCTAGGAGCTGCCATTTAGGCCTCCTCTGAGGACAAGTAGACATGTATCATGTGAAGAAAGGCAGGGAGGAGAGTAGGTGCAGTGTCCTGAACAGGTAGGGCACAGTCGGGGCAAGGTGGGAAGGGCCACCTAGCTGGAGCCCAGGGTGTGTGATGACTGGGCTGAAGGGGACCTGGAGTGGGGGCTGGGGCTTTGTGAGGAGTGTGGGGTACTGTGGGGGTAAACAAGACCACATTTTCCTTTCTGGAAGACACTCCAAGCAGCAATGTGGAGAGTGGCCAGGTGGGGGAAACTCAATCAGACAGTTCCGGGTTCTCATCCTTGAGCTGCTACTTCCTTGAGCAAGTCACTCAATATTCGTGAGCCTCCATGTCCTTATTTGTAAAATAGGGGGATGTTCATGATAACGCCTTCTTCATTGGGTTGTATGAGGATTAGGTAGGACAGTGTTCATGACAGCGTTCCTGCTGGTGGGATAAGTACGGGACATGAATGGGTTAGTGTGTGGATGTTGGTTTCTTCAGCCTCCAGGAAGGCTGGGCAGGGCCTGGCAGCACTTCTGCTTATCCCAGGTCCTCACACACTTCTCTGTGGGCACCATGACATAAGTCAAGGTGGGAATTGCAGATCTACAAAGCACTTGGCATGGCTCTCCTACCTAGTAAGTCTCAGTAAACAGGGCTGTCCACTGACAACAGTCCTTATTCATGTGACTACTACAGAGAGAAGTGGGGACAGAGAAGAGAGGCTGGACCCAGGGACGTTTCTGAGGTAGAGCTGGCAGAATTTGGTGGCCAGTTGGATGTCGGGGAGGAGGGGCACCACCGGAGAGGAGGAGGCCTTGGGATGATTGTGGGATCTGAGATGTCATAGACCAGATGGGAGGTTGTGCTAGTAATGGAAACTGGAGTGTGTGGGTTTGAGGTATGAATGTGAATTGAGGAAGTAGAGACCCATCTGGTAGCCTACTTTGTTCCAGAAGTAGCAAGTTAGGGAAGAATGAAGACAAGGTGGCAATGTGTCAGGGGGAATGCTGGGGGCATGTGAGAGACTTCAGGATGCTGTAGGCTAAGGAGACAGAAGCAGAGGATTTGACAAATCAAAGACAAAAGGAAAAGAGTGCATAGCACTTTGCCCAACTTCGCTTCTTTGGATAGCATCTGTCCCGTTGGAGAGTGGCTGCCAATAACTGGCAGTTGGGCAGCTGTCCAGGCATGATTTACAGGAAGGCATTGGTTTCACGAGAGGCACTGTCTAAATTATTGCACTTCTCCAATTGCCAGGTTTCCCTGCTGACAGTGAACCAGGGGTCAAACAATTCAATCAGGTGCCACCACTTATAAATTGAAAATCAGTGGGGTGCAAAATGGATTACCATCAAAATCTATTCAGGTGCAAAACCAAATTTTAAAACCCCTAACCTTTAAAAATCATTCCTTTCCTGATTCTTCATGATGCCCTGACATTGCGTTTTAATATCCCTCAAATAAGCAAACGTCCATGGAAATGCCTGCAGGGACTAAGAGTGTCAAGGGAAGAACTCCTAATCATGCCTTCCTGTTGGAATTTGCAAACATGGTGGATTTATGAATTAATACATTGGCAATTCTATTACCTTCTCCAAGGCAGAGCTTCTCAAACTTAAGTGTATAACAGAATCACCTGGAGGGCTTATTAAAATTGAGATTGCAGTCTTGACCTCAGTGTTTCTGATTCAGTAGGTCTGGGGTCAGGCCTGGGAAATTGCATTTCTAGCAAATAATCAGAGGATGCTGATGCTGCAGTCCCAGAACCATACCTTGAGAGCCTCTGATGTGAAATCTTGGAAAATTTTAGTAATTTGACTAACCAAGCATGCATTGGTCAATAAAAACAAATCAGTAAAAGTCCTATTGGACCAGTTGTTGACTTGTTGAGTGTGTCAAGGGGCTTTAATTTTGTCCAAGAAATCTGAGAAGAGACCGATTCAAGGAGATAGGGATTGATCTGAGTGCTTTGTGTTCACAGGTAAGGTTGGGGGATGGGATAGAGAAAAGGGAAGCGGCCCCTCTAACAAATGACATCATTAAGGTCGAAGCCTGCTCTCTGTTGGTCCAAGGGTGCAAACCAATAATGTCTTTTGATGTCTTGACTTGAAAGTTGAGTTTCTTAAGATTAAACAAACATGGGTACCACCTTCTTAGCAAGCCATCAGCCTAAACTGTGGCCCTCCCCATCTCCAAATGATGCTAGAGATATGTTTTTCTATCTAAATTGATTGGTTTCTGATATTAGTTCTTCTCTGTTATTCTTTTGGAGTCAAAGTTACTGCCTTGCATAAAGAGTAGGTGTCACTAGGGTCAATATAAAACCAGTCCCTTTCCCCACAGAAAAATGGATCCTGGAAACTGCCCCCAAAATGATTGCTGCCTCATTAACATTTGGTTTCCTGTCTATCTTTGCCAGGAGAAATTGAGCGATGCACATACATCAAATACCACTACTCCTCAGCCACCATCCCAAGGAACCTCACTTTCAACATCACGAAGACCATCCGCCAGGATGAGTGGCATGCCCTGCGTAAGTATACCTGTTTCCTTCTTTGACTGTGACCTTTGGAGGGCTCGGGGGCTTGAATGCCCATCAACAGCTTGGTCTGGACAGATGGATGTGCCTCCTTCCGAGGCCTGTGGACAATCTCAGCACATGGAGGCAGGTCCTCAAAGTGTCCATGTCTGTGGGTCAGAATTACCTCAGTTGGTTTTGATTGTATTATAGATCTGAGGAGTCTGCTTCTAAAATTAAGACAAAAACAAAAACAAACAAACAAACAAAAAAAAACAACAACTAGCAGTCCAGGGGTGGGCAAACTTTTTGACTCGAGGGCCACAATGGGTTCTTAAACTGGACCGGAGGGCCGGAACAAAAGCATGGATGGAGTGTTTGTGTGAACTAATATAAATTCAAAGTAAACATCATTACATAAAGGGTACGGTCTTTTTTTTTTTTTAGTTTTATTCATTTCAAACGGGCTGGATCCGGCCCGCGGGCCGTAGTTTGCCCACGGCTGAGTTAGACACTGATCAGTGATTGTTCATCACTACCCTGGTAGGCATTTGAGATTTCACCTACCTGACCCAACCAACTCCTGGGATTTCATTGGAGCCTGTCTCCCAGTTGCTTGGAGTATTATTGTGGCAACCTGTTAATCCCTTGTGTCATCCTTTGCACAGTGTTTCGGGCTGATTGCTATTGGTTTCGGGCTACATCACATTGGGAATTTGCATTCGGGTGGGGTCCTCTACTTACAAGTTTCTGTTTCCCTCAGAGTGATAGGCTTTGGGACCCTGGTTCTCATGCAATTGCTTAGCAAAGATCACAATGTCTGCTTCTATTGTTGGGGAATTTCTTGGTCAGAGATCCTCAGAGACTTAAATTATGATGTAAGTGTGACTTAATGAGCAAACAGAGCTAGTTGGCTATTTTTACCCTTCTGTTCCATGGGGGCTACCTGCTGTGTGTCATGAAACTCGCCTTCATTGCTGGCACGGTTCTTCAGGTGAACACATCCTTACTCCTTAGTAAGCCTCATACTGCCCTTGTTTCTTGTCATTTCTTTCCTATTCTGGCTTTTTTCACATGTCTCAAGGTTAAGATTCAGTTTACATTGCTATGTGAATGAGGGCCTTTTATTGTTTCTTGATAAAAATGATGGTAAACTTTGATGAAAGCCAAAAACACCTTTCTTCTCCTTATTGCTGCCTGGTTATCTTTTGCATGCCTGGGCCTTCCAGGTATATTTCACTTTTTGGTTTGGCTTTAATCAAACAACCATAGTTTGGAGTGGGAGGTGAGAGAGACAAGTAGAAGTAAACAAAACCGATCAATCATTCATTGGTTTCAGGAAGAAGCTGTGGCCAGAATGGTTGTTCCTACCTGCCACTAGCTCAAAATGATAGGGCAGATGTCAGTGGATGGAAAGGCATTACCCAAATGGTTGTCCCTACAAGCTTTGTCATCATGAGAGGCACTAACCAGGAAATGGGCCAGAGAGGTCATGTTCAAAGACTGTTCCTATGTGCTAGCCATTCAGTAAAGCACACCATATGCTATTTAATCCTAATGTGAGTGTTGCCTCAGAGGGTCTAATATTTTGGGCCTATTAATTTCCTTTTTGGAGGTAGACATGTAAGGAGTCAACTTCATAAATACATGACCGTGACTGCTTATTTCTCACATTGCATTGGTCTAGTGCTGTGGTCGGCAAACTGCCCCTTGAGTGTGGCTCTTCCTAAGCCTTAGGAGTACCCTAATTAAGTTAATAACAGTGTACCTACCTATATAGTTTAAGTTTAAAAAATTTGGCTCTCAAAAGAAATTTCAATCGTTGTACTGTTGATATTTGGCTCTGTTGACTAATGAGTTTGCCGACCACTGGTCTAGTGTAGTCGGTTATAGAAGCCTTAGAGGCTTAGAGGGATGTTCAGGATACACAATAGGCCTTGTTGAATAACCACTTAAATATAATTTAAGTCATAGGGGTTATAATGGAATATAAGGAGGAAGAAGTTATTGACATAACAGCTTCAATTCAAATTCACTCAGTTCAACCGAAGTTGCTGTGTTTCTTTATGTACCGTCACATGGTGGATACTGAGGCCGCAGCTTACATCTGGAGGCGAATGAGGGTGGGGGAAAGAGAGATACATTCACACAGCAAGTGATTATGAGGCAATGCCATAATTATGATAATTATGATATAATAAAATTGTTTCTAGCAATGAAAATAGTTTGTGAAAGTTTTTCAGCAAGGAGGAGGATTATTTTAGCATCAATTGCAGTCAGTTGCACAGATGCACTTCAAGGGAAACCTGATAAAACTCTTCTGGCTGTCTATCCAGTAGACTTCTGGAATTCACGTAGGTCGCAGTACCACTGAAAATATGTTGCATGGCACTGGTGGAGGAGGGAGGAGGCTGATGCTGAGGTTTGTGGAATGTTCTTGAGCCTGATGTCTCCAGGGTCCTCATTCCTGAACTGTAGTGCCGCTGGGTTGTGCAAAAACCAGTGTGCAGCTTATGCTGTGAATTGAGGTGCTCACAGATCTATTTTTAACTGATCGAAACCATCTCTGCCACTGATATTTGCAAAGGTTTGGGGCACCACGTGTTGATGAAGTGGAGGCTGCCCTTTAGTGTGAGATTCATCTGCCTCTCTCACTGAGTGGCCTAATGGGCTGTTGAGTAGGCAGAGAACATTTGCCATTCCTGACATCGATGGCAGCTATTTTTAGCCAGAGGGCAGGTGAGCATCTGTCTCATCTGAAGTTGGTGCTACACGTCATTGGCAAAGCTGGCATCCTGGGGACACACGGTAAATGTCCATTCTAGTTTTCAAAGGTCAGATAGTGATGGCACATAAAACCCCTTGGAAATAAAGTAGAAACTATCAAAGATTAGCAAACTCCTAAGATCAAGCTCTGGAGATTAAAAAAACCCCCCAAAACTCTAATTTATTTACTTGAAAGTCCTTTGCTCTTTAATTTTATTAATGGGATCAAATACATTCATTTGACACTAAATTGGTTATTATTTTATAAGTTGGCCGTAGTCTCTTACATTCTATAGTTTTTCTCAGTAGATAATTTTTGCCAAAGTGAAGAATTTTGATTTTGTTTTCTGAAACAACTGGCAAATATTTTGGACTTCGGTTAAATTTAGGTTCTACATTTTTCATCAAGAATTTGCATGTGGTCATCAACCGTTGATGAGGAAAACAATTTGCAATAGGAAAACACACAGTTTGGTTTGAAATTTATGCCAGTGGCTTTGGAACAGTCAGCCCCACCCATGGGAGGCATAACTATTTGGCCGTGAGCTCATTCACCTTATGGTCAGGTGAGCAGCATGTGAAAGGCTTCAAATCCAAGTGCAAAGAGATAATAACCACCTTGGGACGTAAAGGCCAGGACACCACGCGTGCATGTGAGAGAGAGAGAGCGAGAGCGAGAGCGAGAGCGAGAGAGAGAGAGAGAGAGAGAGAGAATGGTGGTCGTCTCCGTGTATGAGGTCTGAATGCTGAGTTGTCTGAGTGACGTGGTGACAAGCCTCTGGCTTTGGATTGGATGGTGATTGCTGGTGACATATTGTGTGTGCCAGTGCCCGTTTGTCCTTCCACCCTGGCCCGAGCTCCCTGGGAAAAGGCAGAACTCCTTCTGGAGTTGGGACCGGTGGCCTCAGTCCACCCTGGCCTGGCCACCTGCCCAGGGCAGCCCACCTGCCTGCCTGCTGCCTCTCATTTGGTCCCTGTGACCTGAGCATTTGTCCAGCTTGTGCACTCCTGACCCAGATCCTCCCGCCACCTCTGAGTTGGAGCAGGGCAGGTGAGGGGTCACCAGGCCAGTGAGGACAGGATGGTGGCTGCAGGGGATGAGCTTGTCTAATGCCACTCTCTGGGTGGATTTTCTGGTTCAGTGTTTTGAATATGACAGAATCAGATTAGCAGTGGTCAAGGGGAAGCAGGCTGGCATTGTGGTGGCATCTTAAACGGTGCTGTCTCCTCCTGTAAACTTTTCAGTGTGAGCTTGCAAGGCTTGTTTGGGAAATTCTGTGTCCTGTGCCCAAGAGCGCCTGAAGTCATCTGAGTGGCTCGAGCTTTGCTCTCCCTGCCACAGGTGTCCCTTTGACATGTCCTTTCAGCACAACCAAGGGCCAGGGCACTGCCCAGTGGCAGGGCAAGGGGAGATGGTGGGAGGGGAGCCTGGGTGCCCGTGACCAGGACTGAGCAGCCAGGAGTAGGAGGCAGCAGGGCCTGGGAAGCTGTCACTGAGAGGTGAGGGCTTCTGAAGGAGGGGCTGGCGTGGGTGGAGCCGGGCCTGGGGATGCACCAGGAGACCCAGGAAGGCTGGCCTGGGTGCCCAATGGAAGGTGTGAAAAGGGTGGCCCTTTCTCACCGCCAGATCTCCCAATCTACTTGGCAGGGACTCTGGGCAGCTGCCACGGAGGTTCCCTGGGTCCGAGCCCTGAGACTCTGTGCTGTGAGCTCAGGTTTTCTCATTCTGCTTGGCATCTTCAAGATGGAGGTTTCAGCTCACAGTTGATTGCCCCTGGCAGAGGGAATCGGGAGCTGGGACTCCACTTCCCTGCAATCAGATCTTCTTATCTTTCAAGAGGCTGAGAGCCAGGAAAGCTAGAGGTTTTTTATTTTTTAAGCCGCCTCCTGTCAAGACTGAGATTTCAGCTAATTAGATCAGATGGTCACAGGGCACATTTCCAGCTGGCCCCCGAGGGAGAGAGAAAGAGAGATGACCTCCTCCCCTCCTCCCTGCTCCCCACCCTTTCCTCCTGAGGGCACTCACACCACCCTAGTCGACACAAACACACACTCACACAGTGGCCCTGGAAAGCGGAATCAGGAGAAATAAGACTAGTGGTTCAAGAGGGAGGGAGGAGACAAGGTAAGGGGCAGTGGGGAGAGAGGGAAGGAGACAGACAGACAGACCGAAATGGAGACTTTGGGGAGGAACAAGGACATTTCATGGACATGTGGCTGAGAGGGAGAAGAAATCAAAATCTAGACTG